ATAATAAATTGTAAGAATGGCTCTTTAAAGAAGGACTGGGGTAAAACTACTTCTTTTGTAGGACTACACTATCACATGCCTATGCAAAACATAGGATCTATCATACTTGTTTATTATGCAGTCTTTGTTTCTCTAAATTAATGTTTCACTAGGGCTCGTTTGACTAATGGTAACATGAGCATGGTTTATACAAAAAGAAGCTTGTGTATACAAGCTTTGTTACTAATGATAGGTTACTTTCTACTAAATATTTTCTTAATGTTGATAAATACATTCTATTTTATATTCCATTCCAGAAATGAAATTTCATATTGATACAGCTCCTTTCAATCAAGAATCTCATGAGCAATTTAAAAATGATACTATAAAAATGCCATCTAATTTTAAGTTATAAATTGGAAATCTAGGTTTCATGAAGTAGCAGTTACAATCAATCACATACGGAGAAAATGCATTTTAAAATATTTAAAGTTAAACCAGTGATCTGTGAAAGATACAAAATTGACGGTAATGGAGATCCACTACTGTGCCCATTCAGTCTTCCTCTTTTTGTTGAGATTGCCGGGGTGAAAGACTAATGCATTAGGGACAGCACAAAGACCAAACTTCTTTCACATAAACTGCCAAATTGATTCTGACAGGAATTATGCTACATATTGCAAATCTGTCTTCCTTCACCCCCACTTGAGTCTGCTTGTCATATTTACTGGATCACAAATTTGAATTCAAAGTAATCTCATCCAAGCAAGAGCCCCATCTTTTCAATCTCACTGCAGTCCTTTTTTAAGTTTTGGGTTGGGTTTTTGGATTTTTTTTTGTTTCGGTTGGGTATTTTTTTAATAATAAGTACACATTAGGATAAGAGTTCCTTGCAAGATATTCTGTAATATGATTTAATACAACCACACAAGGTCTGGCAGATGCACTTTTAAATTGCTCCTAATGAACAATTAGCCTTCAAATAGTTGTGAATTTTAGCTACAAACAACCTAGTGTGGTGGGTTGACCCTGGCTGGATGTCAGGCGCCCACCAAAGCCGCTCTATCACTCCCCTCCTCAACTGGACAGGGGAGAGAAAATATAACGGAAGGCTCATGGGTCAAGATAAGGACAGGGAGAGATCACTCACCAATTACCATCACGGGTAAAACAGACTCGACTTGGGGAAATCAGTTTAATTTATTACCAATCAAATCAGATTAGGGTAATAAGAAATAAAATCAAATTTTAAAATACCTTCCCCCCCACCCCTCCCTTCTTCCCAGGCTTAACTTTACTCCCGAATTCTCTACCTCTCCCCGCCCCGAGCAGCACAGGGGGATGGGGTTGGGGGTTGCAATCAGTTCATCACATGTCTCTGCCACTCCTTCCTCCTCAGGGGGAGGACTCCTCACACTCTTCTCCTGCTCCAGCATGGGTCCATTCCACAGGGTGCAGTCCTTCAGGAACAGACTGCTCCAGCGTGGGTCCCCCATGGGGTCACAAGTCCTGCCAGCAAACCTGCTCCAGCATGGGCTTCTCTCTCTCCACGCAGTTCACAGGTCCTGCCAGGAGCCTGCTCCAGCGTGGGCTTCCCACGGAGTCTCAGCCTCCTTCAGGTGCATCCACCTGCTCCAGCGTGGGGTCCTCCATGGGCTGCAGGTCGATATCTGCTCCACTGTGGACCTCCATGGGCTGCAGGGGGACAGCCTGCCTCACCATGGTCTTCACCAAGGGCTGCAGGGGAATCTCTGCTCTGGTGCCTGGAGCACCTCCTCCCCCTCCTTCTTCACTGACCTTGGTGTCTGCAGAGTTGTTTCTCTCACATATTCTCACTCCTCTCTCCAGCTGCAGTTGCACAAGTTTTTTCCCCCTTCTTAAATATGTTATCACAGAGGTGCTACCACCGTTGCTGATGGCATGTTATCCCAGAGGTGCTACCACCGTCGCTGATGGGCTCAGCCTTGGCCAGTGGCGGGTCCCTTTTGGAGCCAGCTGGCATTGGCTCTATCAGACATGGGGGAAGCTTCTAAGCAGCTTCTCACAGAAGACACCCCTGTAGCCCCCCTGCTGCCAAAACCTTGCCATGCAAGCCAAATACACCTAGACTGGTTTAAATCAGTAATCTAGAAACCACTGAACCTCTATCAAATTTACAAGACATCGTTTTTTCCTTCAACAACATACCAATTTTTTTTTTAAACATAGTTTACTAAAACTTGACAGGATACAAATTTCTAACCATTATAATAAAGATGCCTCAAAATCCAGAACTGTAATTTGGAAATAGACTATAAAAATACTTACAGTAAGAAAAGCGGTGATGTTATGGAGCCCTGTAAAAGCAAATATTTTCCTTTACAGGGAGGCATTATTAACTTCATAAAAATCAATTTTATAAGCAATAGCAAGTAGTACACAAAGGGCATTTCTACAGGAGTAAAGGCATGTGAAACAACTAATACCCTAGAAAGACAGTGATCTACTTGTTTTTCTGTTTTCCTATACCTTTACTATTATCACAAAAACAATTTAAAAGAAGTTGCTTACCATTTGCTTTTCAGAAAGGCAAAATCATCACATCAACACTAGATGAACGTACTAGCTCCCAGACAGCCAGACATGAAAATGACACTTTCACCTAAATCTTTCTGCTTGAACACTCAGCCAGAAAGGCAGGGTAGTAGTAGGTCTTCAATGCCCACCTGCTACAGCAGCAAGGCTGTGCAGCATGGGTGGGAACAGAGCAGGAGCATCAGAACTTGGTCTTTCCAGTCTCACTCTTTCAGTGCAAGACTGACTTGTTTGCCTACAGGTCGCCAGGTGTGAGCTGCTGAGGTTTTCCATCCCTATACTCTCTAGTACAACAGAAAAACCTGGGGAGAAAGACTTAAATCCTGATAAGTTACTTCTGAATGCATGTTAGACCAAGTACCCATGTACTCAGATTATTAATCCTTACCTTTAAACCTTTCCCCTCATAGTATTTTGTTAACTATCAAATAGTAAAACAAGGGCACAGTTTTAGAAAGTTGTTTTGCTGATAATTTTATGATGGCCACAGTAATCATAATCATAAAAGTGGTTTTTTTCAGAATAGCTAAAATTTTAGTTTGTTCATTTTATTTTTAAGATAAGAGCATTCCTTTGTTTGATGGTTATCACTACCTGACAGACAAAGCAACTCATTGTTAGAAAGATCACAGCTTACCTGAGAACTTTGAGTTTTCCTCCCATAGCTTTTCTAAAGCCATGGTTTTCTCTGTGGTCTCAATAAATCCCTTTGCAAGTTCTTCTATCTCCTTCATGAAGTCTAGATCAGGTCCTGTGAATCTCTCTGGACCACTTTGGATGCCTGAAGTACTTTTCCACAGAAAGAAATGGGACAGGGGAGGTAATTACAAACTGGAAGCAAGTAGCTGAAAAATGTGTATATACTCACAGCAGTATTCTGATTTTTTTTTTTTTAAGTATTATGCATTTACACAACTTTTATTTAGTCCAGTTCATTAGTGTGCAAATTGCAACACTGAGTCTCAAACCCTCAGGAAAGTGGGCAATGAAAAATTGCTGAGCTGGAGCAGCTCACCTATGCCAGTAACCCAATTCTGGAAGCAGCCAAAGACAGACACATCTGAAGAAGTCTTTGATGTTGCTGAACACACTCAACTTTTCTCCCCTGCTTTATCATGAGTCCAGGTGATGGTTCTTTGATGGCCTGTAGCCTGAAGTTCAGGCTTTCCTATTGCATCTAAGGCAACGCGCTGCAACCAGAACAGGTAAGTTGGTCAATGGCACCAGATGAAATATAGGTAAGTCCCTCTTTCTGGGCCCTGAAGAAAGTTGGTGCTTCCTCTTTAGTTAGTTTACTAAGCAACAGAACTATGATAACAATTCCACCACCTTAACAAAAAAACATCCATACTAAAAAACGTATGCTGATTCCAGATGATGTGCTCCTCAAGGTATCCTTCTACTTGAAAAGAGAGAAGAATGGTGTCTCTGGCTACCTATTTTTGCCTTATGCTGACTCAACACACAAAAAGTATCTGTTGTTCAGAAAACCTGTAAGGTTTGTATTTGGGATATGACAGCTTGTTTTTTCAAATACATGCAACAACCTATAAAAATAGTATCCTACTATCATTACCGGCTTTTCCCTGATTTTAGCTTACAGCTAAACCCCTGGTACATGTTATCTCTATTATCTCTACCATACCACCATCTGGTGGCTAATCAATAGCACAACAATTTTCTAACAATACTTTCAAGATGAAATCAGAAGTCAAAAAGTCATTTAAGCATCCCTATACAAGACAAAATAACTTAGACTCTCCCAAGGCACCATAAACAATGGAATAATCATATTTAACTAGGAATAATCATCTTTTACTAGGCAGTTGAATTCTGTTTTATCTTATTGGAAGTTCAAATTATCTTAGGGTGAAATCCTGTGTAGCAAAACTATTGCTATCTTTCATTAGAAGCACAGTTAACTGTCACATAAGCCCCACTTACAAAAACATAATAGAGTTACATTCCTTTCTTGTCAAACTTGTATGCAAATACTAGTTTTCAGCACAATTCTACTTACTGGTGAAGAAAAACCTAATGAGAGAGATTCACAAACCGAAGCAAAAAACATCAGCCACTGATTTCTGATTCTCTCATTTCTCCTTCTCTCCCTCCCTGATGCTCATTTGTTCAGGCACCCGCAAAGCTGCCTGCAACTTTAGACTAAAGGATGAAAAGAAAATTTAATCTTAAAACAAGTTCTTGATTGTCTCAGTGCAGTTTATTTCGATTCCAACTTGGCCAACAGCCAGTAGGATTTTGGAAAACTCTTTCACCAGCCTCAAACTTTAATGGACTAAAGGCAGAACAATTCCTCACCACATTTTTTTTCGCTTTTAAATAAAGTTTTAAAAAGCAGGTTTCTGTTGTTCAGAGGGCAGCTTTTAGGGTGATTAATAGCTGCATTTTAACTATTGTTTTTGAAAACTACCACATAAATCCCAGTATTACTAACACACTTACTGCCTGAAATTTCAGACAGCTAGAAACACTGGTGTTTGGCAAAGAAGAACAGGAACACTAACTACATACTGAAAACTTTCTAGCACTCTGCTTTTTGAGCATGAACAAGTGGCCAGCACTTGACCAGAATAGTAACAACCACATTGGTTAAAACACAAATCCAGTCAGAACTTAAAAAAAACCCCAATACTCTAGCTCAGTTTCCACGGGATTTTCCACAGATTTTTTTTTTTTTTTAAATACATGCTGAACTTTAAATTGACAACTAAACTCACAAAACAAGGTCACTTAAAATGATCACAAGTATTCAGAGAAGTGGAGCACAAAGGCAGTATTTCAACCCATGTTGTTTTCCCTCCAAACTAGACATAAGCCTTGCTTCCCCACGTACAAATCTCCCTAGTTTAGAAGCATTGCAAACAATAATGCATTGGGGAAAAAGGACACGTCTACTCACATGGGAGTATATGGCTGGGCTCAACACTGGCACCAGGGCTGCTGGTGCTACCTGGACTCCCTGCCAGCTGCAGGTTGCAGAGATGACTGTGATGGTGGAGTTAGTAACTCCCTCTCCTCTACCCCCATCGCTGACTCTGCTGCACCTTGGATCTGCAAAGCTTGGGTTGATAAAGAGCAGGGGAACAAAAAAACCCTCTTGGAATCTAATTTTATGTTCTATAGCCATCTGTTTGATATATAGCAGAAACATACCCAATAACACAGGCTGAATTGTGTGAACATTGATCACTTCTGTTAATCTGAATCTCATGTGAGTAATCCCAGCCCAGAAACCATTCAGCCTCACACCGCACAAGCAGAGCAGCGAGCAGTTCTCAGAGCAGGTAGGTAGCAAATATAATAGATAAGCAGGGTCTGTTTAGCAATAGCTTTTCAAACAAGAGAAAAACTGAACTCCCCCAGCCCCGAGTTTGAGCGAGGAAAAATGCTGTCTGCTCTTCATCACTTAGCTTCAAAATGTTTCATTGGTGGCTGTAAAGCTTCCTTTGAACTAAGAAGTTGGTCAAAAGGCTTCAGGTCATGCTGCCCTAGGTGCTGTGCGAGGCAGCAGCAGCAGCCTGCTTAGACCTTCTGCTCTGACCCTTGCCCAAGCAGGACAGCAAGCTCAGCTGGGCTGTCCCTTCAGTGTCTCCGGGCCTGAGAGTCCTGCAAGGGGTCCCATGGAGTACACGGGGCGGGGGGGCACTGGGGAAGATACACAGACTAGAAACATTGAAGAAAACAGCTGGCATCATTTGGAGCGTGGTGGCTCTGAAGAGCTCCAGGGAGAAGTGCAGGGAAAAACAAGTTGATGGTGAAACTGGAAGGGAAGCTGGGAAACAGTAGGGGAGTGTAGATATTTAGGGTATGGAAGAAGGGCCAAAAACCAGGCATAAGGCCCAGCTATTACAGAAGAGAAGGCAGCGAGTGCAACCTGAAAAACTCATAGAAACATCACACTCCCAAGCACAAGCCTCTCAGCAGAATGAGAGCAGCAGTTCGGACATGCTGTTTCTGAACTATTAGCTTTATGGGGATTTCCAGGGCAGGAGCGATGTCAGCCAGCTGCCACTTGTGCCCCACTTTTGCCATCATTGCTACAGCCCTTCCTCTGGCTACTCTTGGAGCTGAGTGCAACCTCCTTTGGAAGAGGAAATGGCAATGGGCATGATATTAGTTATCAGGCTCAGTTTTATGACACAGATTAAAATAGTACTGAGGTTCCATTTGCTGAATGTCCATGCTAAGTTTTAAAGGATATTATATATCCTCAACATGGTAATGGGGGACCATATTTATCTTCTAATAAGAATGCTACAAGATACTACTGGTTTCTTAATTCAGCACAAGTTACACAAAATTGCAGGAAGATGTCACCATCTTGCCAAAAAGATAAGAAACTAGACTTCAAAACCAGCTGCAGGGACAGTCAAGGCAAACATTTTTCAGACATTGTGCCAACAAAAATATTTAATTTTTGTACTGCTACTCTCCCAAAGAGCCTTCAGTGTGTGCTTTCTGGGGCAGAAGATGACACTAACTTACCTGTGTATGTGTAAAGGAAGTCAACAGCAGCAGTTGCTAGGAACAATGAAGAGGAGAAGCAAGGGATGACAAAAAGGACAAAAGGAGGAAGGCGGTAACTTGTAGCACAGGATATACAGAATTAGAGCTGGGGTGTTAGGAGAAGATGTGTGTATATATATACATATCATTTCATTATCATCTATGGTAACTCTTCCCTTAATTGTGCATTTCCAGAAATACTTGCATGAGGACAGAAATCAAACTAAAGACATACATTTATACGAGTTTTGACCATGACAAAACACTGCAAAAGAGCAAAAAGACTCTGCATCTCTTTCAGCATGTAAAAGCAATTGGCATTTCCTAAAGTCATGACTCAGAAATGCTAACTCTGTCCAAATTACCCAGTTACTCCAGATGACAATAAGAATATTTCAGAGCTCATCTGAGATCTCAGCTATGATGTGCAATGCCATTTAGACTGGTGATTTTCATAAGCCTCTCAGCAAACTCTTGTCTCAACCTCACCCCTGTTGCCACATTAAAAATTTCTCTCTAAAATTGCAAAGCCCCAGCTGTGTTGGCTCCTGTTCTGCACCATCTCAGGACAGCCTGGAGACATGGTATCTCCATCAACCAATACACATGCCGGACAATAGCTTACTGCGTGTCTGTCACAAAAAGGAAAGATCTTTCCCTTCCATGTTGCATGCAATTATAACCCTTCTAAAATGCAATAGACCAAAAAATATAAACAACCAGAAAAGTGTTGTTCTTAATTGGCTATAAAATGGAGAAAACTCACGTTAAAAATTCCTTTTCTCCCCAACTCTCTGACAATCTATAAGCAAGATCATGAAAATTGCTTTGGTTTCTGTTTTCCAACGACATAGCATAAGACTACAGAATCTGGCGCAGGCCACATAGGGTTACTATTCCAATAAGTTGCTGCAGATGTACAGCTATCCTGCAGAATTATTTCTTTTTTCATTTGAAGATACACATCATTAAAGAAAAATTTGACCCTCTAAGCAATTCTTATGCAAGTGCTATCTTTGTTGCTTAGACCTTCCTTGATTTTGTTTTTCCATACCTGCTCTTGTACATGAGCTCTTCTGACACTACTCCACTGGAGAACCACGGAGGACCAGGTATCAATAAAATCAGTAACAAGAAAAGGACCGGTGTGAATGGGGCTGCTCCAGGAGGGGGGCCAAGCTAGGAGCTGAGGCGACCCTGGAGGAGGACATGCCCTCACCAGTGGGACACCATCCCCCAGGATCCTAGCCAGCAGGCAGAGCTGGGGGTGGGTCACAGGCTCCAGCGACAGCCCCAACACGGTGGGATGAGCCCAGGAGTCCAGTCAGGTGCCAAAGGAGACAAGGCTACCAACTGGGACTGAGGGGTCCATCCAGGAGAAGATGCCAGAGGTAGACCTGGGGCTCCAACACACCTACAGGGTGAGGCTGCTCAGGCTGCTACTACTTGAAGCTAAATAAAGAGAAATAAACTAATGTGCTTAGAAATAACATTTTAGAGTCTTGTTTTCGTGATCTTTGTAGTTCTAAGTTTGAGAAAACCTAAGCTTAATTTTCTTTCAGGTTTGAGAAGTCAAACAAACATAGGTCTAGGAGTCTGAGCTGCCAGGGCAAATCCCACCACATTCTGCAAGATTTGCAGTGGAATTAAGAGTACTGGGAACACATTATGTTTCCATGCACAGGCACTCTCATTTGTGGGTGTGGGTGTAAGGCCATAGGACACTGCTGCATAGTTTTTATCTTACTTGCATGCTCTCAGTTTTACTCTGTGTTCCATTAAGATGAGGTGGGGGTTGGAACATTCTGGAAAGAGCAGAGAAAAATGTCCTTTGCCATGGGAGCTCCTAAATATACCTCCTAAATATTTCCTTACTCCTCTGCGATACTGCTGAGTGTAACAGGCTAGGGAATCACATCAAAGAGCTGCAAGCCAGCAGCTTTTGCAGTGGCTGAAGAGGGGAGCAAGGAGCAAAGCCTCGGAGCTGTTGAAAAATGGATGCTTTCCGAGGCATCAGAGGAGGTGGCAGATTTTTCTGCAAATCAAAGTTGATGAGGTAGTTGTAGCCTTCACCTGGCTCATCTTCTCACCATGTCAGAGGCTGTTAATGGAGCCTATTGCCTGGGGGGATGGTGCCACATCTGTGAGGGCATAGCCTGCAACAGGATGACTTCAACCTCTGACTCAGCCCCCCTCATGGAGCAACCTGCTCAGGCTGCTCACTGACAAATAGTTATTTGGGTGGTTTATGGCTTTCATAGTGGAGGTTCCAACAGAAGTCATAGAATTACTTTGTCCAAAAGGCAACAACTATATTTCAAACTGATAGCACTGATGTGGTACATACCGTGAAAATAAATGGGTTGTGTCCATGCAAACTATGCACAGTCTTTGATTTACCCTTAATAAACACAGCATTGTTGATGCAAAAATGTCCCTGAAAATTATTGTAAAGAACCACCTATGGTTTGGTACAAATCCCCAAAGGGAAGATAATTGGTATTACTGTTCCTGTGCCACCCCTTCTCTCCAGTCAACACAGGAACATTGTAGAATTCAGTTATGTTTGGCTGATCAAGCTGACAGTCTGTATTCCTAAGGCTGTTGGCAGCCAGCATAAGTCAGAGCAGCCCTGAGGTTGATTTAATTTATACTGATGGACCTGCTGGAATAGACTGACCTCAGAATGAACTTCATCCTACCTTTTCACCCCTTTTCCCTACCTAGGCTATATGCTGCTCAGTGTAGCCTATTGAGTGTATAAATATGCATACATGCATGCATTTTATTTTTCAGTTGAAAAATTGAAAGCCACTGAATAATTTCCCCAATTTTTAAGTAGGTCTAAGACTGCCTCCAGGAAGTTCTTTCCTGCTTTTCTTTTGAGCTGAAATATAATTTGGGCAGTTCAGTCAAAGCAGTGTAAAAAATCATGCAGAGTAGTCAATATAGTTCATAGTTTCTAGAGGTTTAACACACTTAGATGGCGTCTGGACTAGTGATATAAATAGAAACTATCCTTTTAGGAAAAAAATTTTAAAAAGGCCAACAGCTATTGTAAGTCTATAACCCAATAGTGTAGTATTGCCACTGCAAATAACAGGCTACAGGCTTTGTACTGAGTTTGCAAGACCATGGCACAAAGGCTTGCCACCTTTGCTTTGTCTGAACTTGTCTTAATGTGCCTGCAGTTTTGGTTTTGACTTGGTTTAGTTTTAACCTTTTTTTTTTTTCTGGCCAGATGGCTATTTGCTTTACTTTCACTTGTCATTGTATAATACCACCAGTTTTATACAGATAGTAGTAACAAGTGATCATTCAGTACAAAATGAGATATTTATGATTACCATAGCAAAGCAGTGCAGAGGAACACAGGCCCAGCATAATAGTAGAGGCCCTGAGAAGTGGGGACACAGGATGCACTGTACTGGAGTACAGGCCTGGGATTATAAGAGATGGGGCACAGGCTGGCGCTGAGGACCCCATATCTATAAACAACTCACCAGTGGTCAGTTAAAATGCAGAATTATAGCCAGACAAAGCCAATTTATAAGTATCAAGAAAAAAGAACAGGTACCCAACATATCTAAAAGATACTATATATATTCAGATGTACCATATAAATTCAGATATATTATAGAGATGCAGGCCAATAGAGAACAAGCAAGGTATAAAAGCACATAAGCAAACATAAGTGACCCCAAGAGCACCCTAGAGCGAAAAGCCATCAAACCACATTTCTCCAGGTAAAGGGCTCCAGATCATGACTTGCCATAACAACCCCACCACCACCAGACTGCAGCCACTGACCTTATGACCCAGAGGAGCAAGTGCAAAGGTAAGCATAACCCCAGGGAAAGGAGTAGAAACTAAGTGGTTGTGTAACAGTTTTAACTGTATTATTATTATGAGGAGAATTTTTGTTTAGGGATATTACTGTAATACTGTTATTTCTGTATATAAGTATTTTGTGTAATACTAGATCTGGACTAATAATGATTCGTGGCTTAAACAGTTAAGATTTCAATTCTACTCACAAATTATTGCTTTATGTAGAAGGTGTTTGCCCATAAACAAGATTTATTTTGCATGGTCTTGTGCTCAATCAACAACTCTCTACATGTACAAATAACTAGAACAGACCGTCTGGATCAAATGGTAAGTATTATGGCCTATTACTGATACTGAAGCTTTCCAACTTGCTGCACGCTGAATTTATTGCTACCTATAAACTTCTACAATAATAAACCATAAAAACTTGATGCTCTTACACACTTACCTGGCTCAAAACTCTAAGATCTTTTTTGGCAGATATTCTCAAATTTCTAAGAATAAGCATACTTATATATACACACATATTCTGATTAGCTCACCTTAATTTGACTTTATTGTTATATATTTTGAAAGGTTTCTTATGACTACATCCTTCAGCCAATTTGCATAAGTGTCTTTGAATCTCAATGCTTTTCAACATTTTGAAGTAGATGAAATTACTACATTTCTTAAAGAAAAAGCACAAATTCGAGTTCATCTTTTTTCTTTCTGCATTCTGGGATCCTGTGACAAGGCCCTCTTACAGACTACTTTTTCAAGTTCTTTTTTGTACAGAGCTTCTGCTACTCCTTTTTGGCTCTTTGTGGGTCTTACTTGAGAGTTATCCTTGTTTTGCTTTTCTGTGTTTATTTCTCCCACCATGTATGCTTCCAAACTATTCAAAGTTTAAATCCATGTATGATATACTTTTACTTGCTCAATCTCACCCTCTTGTAATAAAAGACTTTCTAGTGAAGGATAAAAGTATGGTCTCATATGGCAGCAGTGAAGGGCAAGAATATCACAAGGTATCTCTCCAGTTTTCCCCCAAAACGGTGTTCAGCATCTAATAACAGAATTAAATGCCCAAGAAAGGCAAACAAAAATTAGGAAGAGGCATGACTAAGGTCCTACATCTTTTGCATTCATAAGGACACTGAAGGCAACTTTTAGCACAGAGTAACAAAGCGCCTGTTCTACCTGTCTACAAGACAATAAGAACCTTTGTTGTAGAAAAAGGCGCACTGTGATACCAACAGCTCTGTCAAATTTGTATAACTTACCGTAAGCAGTTGTTTTTCTGTGTTGTGTAACTAGTATTCTTGCATCTTGAACCAACATTACAGAAAAGTGTCCGCATGAAAGGATAAAGGCCCCGACTTGGTAAATCCCGAGCTTCTAAGTAACCTAAAACCAAGCAGAGGCAGAATTAAAACCAGTGACATTACAGTTACAAACCTGTACCATCACACTGTGTTCCCTTCTCCTAGAAAGTGGCTTTGTCGCCTGCAAACAATGAAGTTTTATCGATGGCTGGTGTCCCATTTAAGAACAACTAATTCACCACAGAAAATCAATAACTTCTGTGTCAGACTGTAACAACAGGGTATAACATTTGAGAGCAATCTTTGAAAAGCTGATTTTCATGGTAGTAATGCCATTGCAACATCATATGCTTTCCAGGCTCTCTGCCCAAAATGACTTGTGACCTAGATTATAATATAGACTTCTTCACAAAATAGTATTTCCTCTTTTCTCCCAGGCTTTCATGAGATGAAGGAACTGGTATTCAGCAATGTCTGAATGTACATCCACCAAGACTATCTAAACAGCAAATTTTCCATGTCTCTGGAATTTATCCATATCTCTCCACAGTTCTGAGAATTCAAACTTCAAAATATAAAGCAACTTTTTGCTTATTTTGAAACATAAGGAATAGCTATAAGTTTCCTATTTAACTTCATTTCTCTGTTTAAAACAGCTAAAATTGAGAAATATTTGAAAAGTCACTCCCCTCTTTCTCTGAATAACCTTCTTTTGGCAACCATTAGATCAAAATTAAGGGAACAAAATGAGAAGGAGATAAGAAAGCTAGCATTTGGGCTAGCACTCTGACTGAATATTCAGAATTGAAAGATGCACAAATAGGGAATTTACTACATGTACATGATACTTAAAAATCCTGATTTTATTTAAATTCAGGTGCCAATATTTTTGAGACATGTACCATTAGAAATTGCGCTGTTAGTCAAATCATCCTTCATTCCTCAGGAACTGTAGCTGATGTATAAAATAATGAATTTTGAGTTGTGAATGACCAGTGCCATTTGCAGATGAGTTATTTTTACTTAGCACACTGCAGTTCACATTGTAGAAAGCTCTCTGAGCACGTACACTGGATCCCTTTCTGCTAAAACAAAGCAGAAGATGTACTCCAAGAGCACACTTCATGTACTCAAACCATTAGCATGTATTGCATCCTTGGGTCCAGACTAGAGCTGGTCTAAAGTAAATGTATATAGTGCAGGCTAGATTCTCTCCAGATGTTTCACTCTACAGATCTATAATTGTTTTACCAAATTGGTTTTTAATGTGGCTAAAGCTGGTTTATCCCCAGCTTACTGACATCTGTGAATAACAGAATAATAAACTGAATAGACTATAATATCACAAGTCATTCTTTTCTCAATGAAGATAACTTTTGACAAGATAAAAGCAAAAATAACTTTATAAGGTGGAGGTAGTCATAACAAGTTTTGAAGTGTTGATGGAAGTGGAAGAATTTATTATTTACAAAATGTTCATTCTAAATCCCAGGAATTGGGTAGGGGTAAGACTCATCTTGTCTAACTGTTAATATCTACTGCATAATTATCTACCTCTGAGCCAGTCATCTCAACTCCATTACTCAATGGGAAGAAATAAGTACAACTAAAACCCGAGTAATCCACCTTACTCCGAAGTAGATGTCTAAAACTGGTCTGACAAATCAGACCTTAAATTTTGTATTTCTTTCCCACTTAAATATGACTTGCTCAGATCCACAGCTAGACAAGACTGAATCCCACTGTAGAATTCTTTCCATTGACTCCACTACATTTAAGTCCCCCCTTCTAAGATATCTTTAATATCTCCTAAATACTTCTACAAGCAGAAGTAAACAAAATAGAACACAGGTGAAACAAAACATACAGTTTTCCTTGTATTTTGGGGGCTCCTGGAAGCGGATTGCAGCCAGAATCAAGAAAAGCACACATGGCCAGAGTATTTCAGTGAGAGACAAGACCTGAAAAGGGAAATCAACACATCGTCAGTACTATAGAAAACATGATTTGGGAACAAATAATTAAAATTCATATATCTTTTAATAAAAAAACATTAAATATTCCCTCTACAACTACTTAAGGGAAAATAAGATCATTAAAAGCAAATTAGTAATTAAGACTTCTATTTAATATCCTTACAACTTTGCCGAACACACTGCTTTGAGTACAAAAGTTTTCACTTCTTCTGTTTATAGTGTTTGTAGATATTTCCCTCTGGTCAACACAGTGACTCTGACAACATGACGACAGTGATGTCCACCTTTCCCATACCTGAGCCTCCTAAGAAGCCAGCAGCATTCTGCACCTTGCTGCAACTCCTCATGATCCCCTGAAGCCTGCTGTCCTGAACCCTGCCCGGTGGCATGCCTCCTTGTCCTTCCCTGGCTCCCTGACTGCTGCCATTACACCCTTTCTTTCACCTGCAGTCACCTCTCTCCAAAAGCTGCCTTTGTCACCTCCAGCAGCAGGGCGTTGTAAGACCAAACTAATGGGCCTGAGGCTGCCCACCACCACGCTTCTCGTTGCCCTGCCTTCCCATTTCCAGGGCCACAACGAAAAGGTACCCAAGGTGGTGCACTGCGGGACTCGCAGATTTTGAGCGTGTCTCCTCTGAGCGAATTGCATGTACACAGTATGTGCTTCACCCTCCGCAGAGAGGATGCAAACCCCCAAACAGATTGAACGGAGAAAAAAAAACCAAAAAATATTGTCTCAATTTTCAGCTGCAAAAATGAAGAAACTGCCATTCAGCCAGCTTTCAAAGACTTCTGGATTCACTGATAAAAGTGCTAGGAAAGTGTGAATACCAAACTCAGTAACAGAAACATAGTAGAAATTACAAAGAAACACACTAAAGATCTCCCATTAGAGGCTATTAACTTCTCTGAAGCATATTGAGGATTTTTATTTCTAAACTGTCAGAGTTTAATTAAATCCCACTGAGGAAGTGATTCCTAAACTTGGGTATGTTAGAAAAATACCTGAGAAAAGTAACATAATGCTTAATAACAAAATCCAATGGCAGAGCCTTCCCTGTGGAAAAGGCTTGCTCTGCTGAACACAAGGCAAGGAACTAAAGCCTTCCTGAAATTTAGGGAATTGCCATTTATCTAAACTGAACACACTCCAAACCCAATAGGACCCAACCAAAAAAAAAGCAAGACCTGGTGCTTAGAATAGAATCATAGAATCATAGAATCGCCTGAATGGTAACATGTCCCAGCAGGGCAGGGGCCTCGCCAGCTGGGGACCCATCCCACAGGACCCCACAAGGCAAGCAGGGCAGGCCCAGCCATCACAGCCAGCTTCAGCCAGGAGTCCTGATCCTCGCGCAAAGTCATGATGATGAGGCAGGACCATGGTCAAGCCAGAAAGACAGTGGCCAAGCACAAGAGCTGAACGGGAGAGTGGTGCTCTTCTGACTTCACCCAGGCAGGAGCTGAGGACCCAGAAGCCCCATTACAGCTGAGCCCTGGGCCCAGGTGGAGTCCCAGGTGAGGCTGGTCAGGGCCATTAAGGCTTAGCAGTGCCCCGGCAGCAGCCTCCCCTCCTTGGCATGTTCACCAGCATACCTCCCATCTGGGATCGGAGGGGCCTTGCTGTGGAGTTGTGCCATTGCTGCAGGGTGTCAGTGGGCTATTTTGAGGCGGGGGTGGGGGGCATGGAGCCAGGTACAGCAGATGAGGAAAGGGACACTGCAGAAGAGACTTGGAGGAGGTATGCCCAGACTGCCCATGAGGGGCTGGAAAGGGTCAAGGATGCCCCTGGAGACACAACCACCACCACCGCCCCCCCCAGGCCCGTGCTGGGGGAAGGTCCCGCAAGAAGCCCAGGCAGGGGGTCAGGGCTGTGGGAGACCAGAGATCAGGAGGGGTTGTAGGGGGAAGGCCCTGGACAGCCACAGGCTAGGCTCCCTGGTGCACACCTCAGGGCTCAAGGCAACCTAAGCTAGCAGTCAGGGCACAGTACCAGCCAGCTACTCCCTAAAGGGCAAGGAGCCAAAGGGGATGCCAGGCCAGCAGGGTCCTTGTCGGACAGGGCCTGTCCTGCAGTACCCCAGCAAGGCAAGCAGGCTGGGCAGCGGCAGCAAGGTTCAACTGAGAGTCTGGATCTCCAGGTGAGTCTGCAATGATGAGACAGGCCTACGGTCAAGCCAGGAAGCTAACCTGCAGGCTGTGCTCACATCCAGTGAGAGCAGCCAGGGCCCATGGAGAAGCCACTTGGAATTCTGCATCATGGGCACCATCTCTGAGGAACTTGTGGACTAACCAAAGCCATCTGATTTCAAGCCTGCTGTTCTGTTCTCTATCTGTCCTACTGCACTGGACTGTTATCAAGAACTTTGTTTACCTCTTGCAAGCAGATCAAGCATAAATAAATAAATAAATTGAATGTGCAGTTGGCTCAATAGCTTTCAACTGTTAGTAAAAAAGCTAGTCTTATTGTATAGAGCTAGATCTAGGCCTTACTAAAAAAAGACGTGAATTTGGAGCAGCATGTCACTAGGACACTTATTGGCGAGAGTACCTCTTTGGTCAAGGAAATCTAACATGTCATTTGTAATTAGTAAGAAGCTTTCAAGCAAAAGATGCAGGGGATTAAATGCATTGGTAAGAGGGATTTATTTGTGCTACAAAGCAGAGAAGGGATAGACTTGAAGACTTTTAATCATTACAAGGGCATTCCCAGAGGGACAGAACAGGTTTTATGAAATGTCTCTGGAGAAGTAGACCTAGGATCAAAAATATCACACTACCTTATCACTAAAATTGAGGAAGAACATGTTACTACCACTGTGGAAGGCTTTTGAGCTTGTACAAACAGCTTTATAGGAGTTATGATATCTGAAAGATTCTACTTGCTTACCACAACAGAAAAGCAGAAAACATATTGTGTTTCCCATTAACTGAGACAAAATAAAACCCTACTAATGGAGAAACAAATTTCCCATCAATTCAGAATAAGCTAAGCTTCTGACTTCAAAATCTAGATTAGTTCACCCAAACAAATACAGAAATACCCTCATTCTGGACCTTCTTTTTTCTTACCATTTCCCCTATTAGGCTGCATTAAGGACCAGCCATTCATATTTAAGACAGCTATGAAATTAATTGGACTTTCTCCATTGGCACTCCCTTTGGTATACCATAGCAGGTCAACAGAGGCCCACTCTTGCAACTTTCATGGGGTGTGATATATCACTTGGCCTAAAACTCTGAGTGGTATTCTTCCTGTAGATTTGCATGGATGCAGCCAAGGAAGATCATTTATTTCAAGTACACTTTAGTTAACTGGTTTTGGCCTGTTCCTGGGCTCTTTTGTCTCCAATTACATTTTAGAAATATTTTGAACTTTAAGAGTTTGACCCACTGAGAATTGCTGCTGGATTATCAGATGGTGCGTAGAAAGCAAAACAGGGAATGGGGAAGAAATAATCCATTTATAGGTATAACTGAGTGTCATCTGGCTAGAAATACAAGAGAATGCTCTGTGACTAGAAAAGTCACACAGGCTGTAACATAGTAGGGTATGCCAGGTACAGAACGGTTGCAGTTGAGAACTCTCCTCTGGTTTAAGCTCTTCCAAAATTAATTTGCTTAGTCAGTATATCCAAAAATCTGGCATGCAGAGAAGGGTTATTGTTCCAAATCTGGGACAAATGAGCCAAAGATTCTTAAAACACAAAAATACAATAGCAGTATTTTTTAAAATGGGCAAATTCTCTATTTTATTTTTTTTTCCACAAACCTAGGGATCAGAATGAACATTGCACAATGCACTAGCATTAGCACTGGGGGAGAAAGGCACCTAATGAAATGATAAGAGCTGTAAACATTGTTGCTCTCATTCTGGGCTGCATTCTCCTTGGTTGTTGCCATTCACCTAAGAAACTTCATTGCACCTAAAGAATAGGGTAAATAGCAATGATTTTGGTGAATCTATAAAATTCAAGGTTTTATAAATATATCAAATTTGCGACTGGAGAATACCAGTGAGCCAAGAAAGTATAGGCCTATTAGAATAACTTCTGTTGTTTAGAAGGGTTTAGGAAAACAAATAATTACCCCATTTTCCATTTATCTCCAGAATTTCAGTATGCATTAATAGCTTATCAGAGGTAGACTTCTCAGTCTAACATGCTTATGCCTTTCTTTGTTAGAGTACCATAAGTCTGGATGTTGATAATAGCAATCGCAGAGAACCTAGGAATACTAAGAAGTAATCCCATTGTCCACATTATCGTACTCTGCTCCATCTGCCTTTCTTTACTACCATCTCAACCACTGCCTGGGGAGCAACAGCAGCAACCATGCAGCTGATGCTTGGACGTGAGGGAGTCTGAAAGAGTTGGGTTTTTTTTCCCAACCCCCGAAACAGCCCTTAGCAGTCCTGTCCTTTGGTAAGCTAATGATTTTTTTTAGGCAAATAAAGCAAACCCCACTCAGCTGGCTCCTGCAGGGCATGTGATAACAGCAGAATTTGGGGTAAGTACAAGAATTGAGAAGGCAGCTGCAAAGGAAACAACAGGTTGGGCTGAAGTGGAAATAGGTTGGAGGACTCAATGAACCATCAGCATGCTGCAAACATTAAGCAAAGCAAAACTGATCTTATTGAGCAAGTTATTCCTGGTAAAGGTCTGAAGTAATGCTGCTGTATAAGGCATATTCATGTTCAAATAGGAAAGGCACCAACAGAAGAGGGTCCAAAGAAAGGGCATTCGAAAGATGGCAACCCTTGCGCAGCTGCTTTGCCCAGGCACTGAGGGGAACTGGGGTCTGAGAGCTCATGCCATTCTAGTGGATTGTGCCTGGGAAGAATGGTGAATTTGGTAATGGAGCTTTAGGACCTGGCTGATAAAAGCAGACAACTTTGTAACCGTTCACTGTTATTTTATTTTATTTTTATTTTTTTGCACTGATGCAAAAACATGCATGCACAAAACAGAGGGCACTCAGCAGTAAGCAACTTTTAGGGATGTTTATATCTTTTAAAGTGTGGAAGAAAGGAGTGTGAACTGTAAAGGACAGAAGCAGGGCAAAGATGACAGTGTAGGGGCAGATGAAAAGCGAGAATTATACCAGCATTTTCTCTCATGCTTGTTAATCCAAAATGAAAATGATTAATAATAGCAACTTTTTAAAAAAGATATAGTTTCAGGATAGGCTATGTTTCTGTTTTCTCCTAATAGCTGTATTAACAACTACACACTCCAAGCATTTCACAACATGATTATAATCCCAATTCTCCTCTAAATTATGGTATCAGAACAAGAGAATTTGGGTATCACATTTCATCCTTTACCTAGCTGCAAATTCGGATGGTAATAAATACTATATAAACAATAGTTAAGAAATGCAGTGATAGAAAACTTAAGTAATACAGTTGCCTGGTAGTATGTATCTCCTGAGCTTCCAGAATCTGTACTTCTGAAGCAAAAGCTTCTTTTGCTTCAGAAGCAAAAGCTTCTGAAAACAGAAATGAGAAGGTATCTTCTACAAAACTGCAATTTCAAACTCCAGCTGATGTCCAAACGTACATATTATCCTGTGCTGCCTTTGAACCATGTTAATAAGAGGTGCTGATGCCTGTCTGTTTCAGTCAAAACACCTATTCTTTACAGAACACTTACATCTTTCACAGCCTCTTCACTATGTGATATCAACTAATGCCACATGACACTCATGACACATTGTTAGTCCAACAGACCACACTTGTCTTCTAGCCCTAACTGCCGATAAATATCCATGAGAAGACAATTGCCTTCTACAGATAGATCTACACAATATAATACAGAGCTGAAGCACATCATATCTTTCAGGAGATGCTTCTCTCCAGATTCACAGGGGTCTGACCTGCCCTTTGCGTAGGTGGACGATCCACCTAGATTTCTCCTTGCGTAACTGCAGATGGAGCGCCGTCATGGCTCAGTGTTCGCACAATAGGCACATAAGGAGGTTTTGCAAATTCCCCAGGGCAGCTCCTGGCTCTGAACAGGCAGAATTAAGTTCGCTTTTGGTCATTTATTGTAATTCCTGGTTTGGGGAAGTCTGCATCTCAGTGAGCTCTCTATTCAGGAAAGCTACCAATTAGGCAAACTTAACACTTAAATGAATGAAGATTTTGTCCTTCAAAAATATATGAGGGAAAACTATAAACAGAGCAAGAGAAATAGATCAGCATGGGGGAGAACATGAGATACTGAGAAGCAACTTAATGCACACCGATTGAAGTACGAGGAACAGGGAGCACACAGAAGAATTTAGGAATGAGGAGTAATATAACCAACAGTATCCCTCCCCAAAAAATGTCTTTCATATTAAAAAACATCACTTGAAATCATTTGGAGAAGAAATTCTCTCTCTAAATCACAATTTTATTTAAGTGAAATATTTCTGAAATGAAAAGCTCTGTGTTTATTTAATTGAGGTAATCCTATCCGAAGCAGCCAACATGCCTCATTGCAAATCCCCAGACCATCACAGACAAGGGAAATCAGTGAGAAGCTATTCATTGAAGTGACATTTTTTTCCCACAAAAATGTTATCTCACTTGAGAAAATTCACTTCCTTCTATCTTAAATTTAAAAAAATCATGTCAATCACAGTAAAAGTGAACAATGACATCTCATCTCATATTTGAGTATTATTTTAATTTTGACTGCTGTTGAAGTAGCTGCCACATTCTGCATATTGGAATTTGAAAGGTTAAGTTAGGCTTTGTAGAGTAGATAAGAAAGGAAATTTAGAAGTATATACAATTTTAATATACAATCCTTGCATTCCCCATATCTAGATTTTTATCACAATTGTGCAAGCTTTCTTACGTTACCAATGAGTACCTGTAATGTGAAGAAAATTGATTTTCATCCTCGCCACTGCTACAAGCACTGGTAGTATATAATGATAATTAAAAGATAAGCTGTGGCTTTTCAAAACTTCTATGAGATTTCTTATCTCATTTGCAAATTGGGGACCACTGCTGTATTCAGCCATTTTAGAATTAATACACACTGCTGTTCTCTACTTGTGTTTTCAACAATTAGGAGACCAAAGGCAAGACAAGAACCACCTGCAGCCAGCCTACGCAACCTGCAGTGCAACCTAACAATCTGCAGTGAAAAGGGAAAATCGAT